CCTCGCCGGAGAAGAAGAAGAAGGGCGAGCGGAGAAGAAGCCCAACCATCGGAGGACGTTGGTGCCACCGTGTCGAAGACCCAAAACACATCGATGAGCACAATTTTTCTTACCGTACTCCCTATCTTCTCACCCTAGGTCATTTAAACTAACCCTAAAGCAAGAAAAACCAAGGAAGATCGCAACTTGTGAAAAAGAGGTGGCAGAGCATGGTTGCGTCGTCACACTAAAGATAAAAAATTGCCTAGTAAGGCCAAAAGTTTTCATTTCTTTCCGTAGGACACCCCCTAACCACGATTTAAACATATTTCCACCAAGAATCGGCCAAACTTGGTCTGACCGAGAGGAAGAGCCACTGGAGAAGGAGGATCCCAGGCGACAGAGCACGGTAGTGCCGCCGCGCCAGAACCCCAGCCCAACCCCTGGTGAGATTTTTTGTCTTTTTTATCGTTCCTCACGTATTTTCATGCCATTTTGACGTACATTTCAATCTTATCAAGAAAAGTCAAGAAATTCAAGAATCGAAAACTGTTGAGAACTGTAGTAAAAAAATAGTATTCTGGACATCAACCCATGATAAGAATCTTTCATCATTTTTTTTGCTATTACAGTTAAATTAAAGCTAAATTAATAATAAAAAATTTAAATAATTGGAATGCCTTGATTAATTAAGCACAGGTTGCCGATGGAGCCAATAATTAGTTACTCTATACTTGTCATTAGTTAATTGTGTTAGTTATTTCTTCAGTCGCTTTATGGTGCTTATTTATATTCTATTCTATTTGCTTCAATCTATTCGCTTTAATCTATGGTTAGCATAATATGGTTTCTTGATTTATATTTTTTGTTGTTTTATTTTGTGCATAATACGTCTCAGTCAGTATAATGTACACTTATGTCACTCATGTATTCTGAAATATAAATTTTGTACTCTTGTGTGGCTTGGGAATGCGGCTATACGCGTTGTTTAAGGCTAGATAGTAAATAAAAGAAAGGATATGTATGAACTAACGGTGTTGAATGAAAGGGCTTACTGGGTGTCATGGAAAAGAGTATACAGATTTGGTGCATAGAGTGAAGCTTACCGTGGACGTTACCCTCAGTCGTACAGGGGTGGGAAGTCCCATACCGGACAGGGTTGAGAATTGGTTTAATTACGCTCATACCGGATGGGTTATTGAGACGATTGTATGTTGTGACACCCATTACCGGACGAGGTATAGGGACGACCATTTGATTTATAAAGAAAATATTTGTGTCTAAGTGTAGTGGGGATCTCTATGGACTCCCAGTGACACCGATAGAAAAATATAAAATTATAGAGTAGAGATGAACATGGTAAAGAATCTGATTTTGAAAAATAATGAAGGGTCAATTGTTATACGTCTTTTGGAACGTATACTGTTAGATTGTTATTCTGATTTTTATCTTAATGAATGATATTTGAGAACTTACAGGTTAGTTGAGAAAATACTAAAGTTTTCAATGAAACGAATAATGAATGCACTAGCATTTGAGTTTTATTAAGAATGGATTTTATTAGTTGTTTTATGTTTTCTATAACCATTTGATTTTCTGTATCAGTAGTAAGGTGTTGATTTTTACTGAGATAGTGTAGATTACCTATTTCTTATTAACCATTCTGTAACACCTGAGTCCGAAAATTAGGCTCAGGATAATCAAAATTATATTATATTAAAAGTAAATTTAAATATTTTAAATTTTAATTTTTATTAACAATTTTAAATAAATATACATTTTGGGCGTAATTGAAAACAATTTTGAAAGGTTAGGACTAAAATGAAAATAAAAAATGAACTATTTGAAAGAAAATTAGAAAACTAGGGCAAAAGTGCACATAATATACAATAGGCCACGTGGCATATCCACATCAGCAGCGCGACCAATCACCATGTGCTGCATGGTAGACACGCGGATACGCATCCTTGTCGGAAGCCACAAGGCAATCCACGTGTTAACCGATCTGACGACCCAGGTTCACTCATGCGCACATGAATGGCCCATATTTGTTTCCCTTTCAGACGAGATCGAACGACCCTGTTGCATCTTGATCGTACGGTCTAGATTAATTTCCTACATAAGATTTATTTAACGGCTGGGAAGGGGTCACGTCTCTTCGAATGGATAGCCCAAATTGAATGAAGAGTATTTAAACT